ATGTATAGGGCAGTTGTGGCAGAAGAGTGTGGGACTACAAGTCTCAGCCAGCATTCACTACTTAGATCAGGGGATTAGACCTATAGATATATCAGCCATTTGTTTACATGCTAAGCTTTTTTCCTCAGAATAGGTGCAAGAATTTCCCACCTTTTGAGTCACCCCTTGTCTCCACTCCCATGCACCATCCCTTGGTTACACCTCCTACCCACCTCCCAGTGCTGCCCCTTTTAGAGAATATAGAACCTAGTATCATTTTGTGGTGCTACCTAATTTGTATGTAATGTGTTAATGATAACAAAAAAAGCCATAAAATACAGTAGATCCATTGCAGCCAGCAACAATTAATCCCCCACTCAATAGACCCCCCCCCCCCCCCACAACAAAAATACCACCCTAGTAATTATAGACCCCCAGCAACAACAGATCTCCCAGCAGCCAGCAACAATAGATTCCACCCAGCAACAACTGACCCCCCAGCAACAGTAGTCCCCAATGCATAAATACATTCCCATCAGTAGCAATAGATCCCCTGGCAGCCAACATCAACAGACCCTCCAGCACTCTCCTTGCCATTACATACATTCAGTGCTGGAGCTGTGTTCCCGCTGAAAAAAAGCCCTGTTTACATGTATAGGGCAGTTGCGGCAGAAGACTGTGGCAATACAAGTCTCAGCTAACACTCATGACTTAGATCAGGGGATTAGACCTACAGGCGTCAGATGTTTGTTTACATGTACAGGCCAGCTGTGGCTGGACAGTGTGGGACTACAAGTCCCAGGCAGCATACAGTGCTCTGTTCAGGGGATTACAGCTACAGCTAGCAGCTGTTTACATATAGGCCATCTGTGGCTGGAGAGTGAGGGACTACAAGTCCCAGCCAGGACTCACTACTTACTTGCCTCCAGGCTGTGCAGCTTCGGTTTCCCAGTGGGTGAGATCTTCAGCTTGTAGATTGACCCAAAAACAGATTTCAGCTGGTAAGTTCATCAGGATCACCCAAGTGCTGTGAGGGGCTGGCTGATTGTGTATAACTCTGATTGATCAGTTATCCAGGTCCTCACTCTGTGTGTTGGTACTTTTATCAGACAAATACAAATCTGTATTACAAATTTTAAGATCTGTAACATTTTTTCATCAGCTATTACCAGCTTTACATGACAGTTTTTAAAGCCTATTCACAGTCATTTTTTTTTAGTTTTGAACATAATAGGGAAATTTAAAGTGTATCTACTACCAAATCTTTATTTTTTCTAGCTGGTATAGAGTGGGGAAGGTTAGATTTCCTGTCAGGTTTTTACTGCTATCTGGGGCTCCACTAGAGAGATGTCCCCTCACCTCCTGTCCTGGTGACAGTTTCCTTACTTTTTTTACCAGACAGGAAATGAGGGAAAATCTACAACATGGAAACAGACAATAAAAATCTGACAGGGGTTCTAGCATTCCCCTACGTAATTAAAAAAAATAAATTCTTACTATTTTCTGTGAGGCTGTTAGGGAGCTCTCACTTCCTCGTTTGTAAAACTGTGTCACCTGAATAGTAGGTGAGGGGAAGTCTCTCTTAACAGTTGCCCATATAGCAGTAAGTCATCGGTCATACAGCTGCGATTTGTGTGCAATTTCAGCGTGATCTCTGAGGACTTTATTGCTACTTTTTCAACGATTTCTTACAGTTTGCAGTGCGATTTCCATTATATTCTATGTATGTGAAATCTCAACAAAACTGCACAAATAGTAATGCAAGAACTACTTTAGAAATCGTGCTGCAGCAAGTCACACATATTAGGACACTGACATTCACATTCATTAGATGTGATTTCAATTCACAAATCGCAGCTGAAATTGCACTGGTTTGACTCAGCATTAAAATAAGAGTTCTATTTCTTCCCCACTCCATCCAAAGCTAGAAAAAAAGGCTATAGATACATTTTACATTTTTATCAGGTCTTTATTTTTGACCGTTATGCCAGTACAAGGAATGGGGTTGTCACCAGGACAGGAAGACACAAATAGCAATGAAAACATTGATCATAGAAAACAGTAGGTACTGGTGGTGCTCCTTGGGAAATGATAGAAATGCGCACTCACCAGAAATAAGTAAGGTATGAGCGTTGTATAGAATCCCTCATCAGAGGTCTGGTCAAAGGTCTGGTCAGCTTGGGCAATCCTCCCTTCCGTGTGATGATAGGACTCAATGAAGAGAAACAAGATCCAGGTAAACGAGGTTTCCTCAAAGGGGCTGGCTGGAAGGAACTGCCTGTTTACAGGAAATCTTCCACCTCTTGGTATGGTGCCTGGGTCTGAAAAGAAGTACTCCTCCTTGCTGCGGTGCTGTTCCTGCTCACTTTCACATGTGTGTTTGTCTGTGCTCGCCTATTTTCTACAGTCACAGTTTTATAGACTCTGTGGACGTTGTTTGAATTTATTTATAGTTTTACATATGATTTTAGCGCTGTACTAATTTATATCATTTGACTTACTGCATATATTGGTTGCTTTGAGTGCATAGCTACTTTTAGGATTAAGCGCTCACTACCTATCTTTCTGTTTGTTTTAGCAATGAAAACATTGTCAGACGTTCTGACCCCTTCTCACTTTATAGAAAGTGTCCCCATTGGGGACCTTAGAAACTCTCAAGGACCCTCTGCACACTGGTATATACCCTTTCAAGCAGACTATGCAATAAATAGGGATATTTAGTTCACACATATTGCAATACATGCTTAAGCTGGCCAACTGCGTCAAAGTAATCCCTCTATGGCCAGTCCTACTCTGCTCTGCCTACGCAAATGCTACTGTGGACACAATGCTAGCATAGGGGGAAAAAGACACAATGGGGAGAGCTACAAGGTTCAGGTCTGGCTACTGACCCAACAATACAACAAACAAGAGATCCTGTGCTCAATTCCCAAAAGCTAAATATCCCTATTTATTGCATAGTCTGCTTGAAAGGGTGTATACCAGTGTGCAGAGGGTCCTTCAGAATTTCTAGTGTTAATATGTGGTTACACCCCTTTAGCACCTGATGGATAAATGCATGCACTAGCTTTTGGGATTTGAGCACAGGGATCTCTTGTTTGTCCCATTGGAGACCTTTCCCATCACTTCCCGTCCTGACCAAAAAAGAGGAAAAATCTCCCCAACAGAGACGCAGGAAGCAGTAAACCATTTCCAGAGGCTGTATCCTTTTCTTGCTCTGTAATGACACTAAAAGGCTTTTGCCTATCGTTGGGATATGTGATACAGACACATGGGAGCTGCTATTGCTGGCCTCCTCCTAACAGCTTAGTTACATGGGTTATAGTGCCGCTGTACTGCAGGAACAAGATACACTTTTCATTATAACCTAAAGCTGGCCATACACTATACAATCAGATTGTCAATCTCCTTTAGACTGAACAAAACTATGTAATATGGGGACAAACCTTAACCATTAGCCGCCCGGCTATAGCCGTTTGGCTGGCCGCAAAAATGGTTTAGATGTCTGGGGTGTATGCCATTTGGCGTCCTCCCGCACATGCGCGGTTTAGAGCCGCGATCTGTCACCGGCCGTGTACCTCGGACACGGCCAATGACAGATCTGAGTACCGCCCCCCCCCCCCGTGCCGGTACCATGTGACCAATCACAGCAGGTCACATGACAGTTGTATACAATGGATGGCTTCATTCATGCCATCCATTGTATACTAGTGCCTAGCTGTGAATGGTCACAGCAGGTCACACGCACATGTCATGTGATTAGCTGTGGCCAAATCAGAGCTAAGCACAAAAAAAAAAAAAAAAAAAAAACTGAATGAATCGATGTCATTCAGGTAAATGTTTGCTTATAGCAAAGTAATTCTTTGCTATAAGCAAATTGTGTAAAAAAAAAATACTGATCACTTCCCCAAAGTAGTACATTGTTACTATGGTAACATTGTACTACTTTGGTCATAGTAAAATATGAAAAAACAAAATTTTAAAAAATGTAATAAAAAATTAAAAATAATAAAAAAATTTAAAAAAAAAAAGAATTTACTATAATATATATATATATATATATATATATATATATTTTTTTTTTTTTTTCATACTGTCACCAGTCAGTGTCCCTGTTCACCGCCATGCCAGTTATATGATGACGCTGTAGTGCACTGGTGACAGTATTTAAAAAAAAAAATAGTGAAAAAGGTAATTTTTTTAATTTTTTCATTTTCCGAAAAATTATGACAAAAAAAATACAACTTCAAAAAACTCGCCATTCCTCTTATGAAGTACGTCGGACTGTCTACTCTGCAAAAAGGGGTCATTTGGGGGATATCTGTACTGTTTTGACATTCTTGGACCTCAAGAAATTAGATTGGCTGTCAGTACTTCAGGATTGATCAATATTCAGATCTATATATTGGTTGTGAACTCTATAACTTTCCTACAAACTAAATAATACATCCTAATTTGGGTTATTTTCACCAAAGACATGTAGCAGAATACATCTTGGCCTAAATTTATGAACAACAATTATTTATTTGTAAACTTTTATAACAGAAACAAAGAAAAACATGTTTTTGTTAATTGAGTCATGAAAACATGACTTTTTTTGTTTTAGCAAAAAATAAAAACCCCAGCGGTGATTAAATACCACCAAAAGAAAGCTCTAGTTGTGTGAAGAAAATTATAAAATTTTAGTTTGGGTACAATGTTGTATGACCGCGCAATTGTCATTCAAAGTGTGAGAGCGCTGAAACGTGAAAAAAGAAGGCCTGGGCAGGAAGGTGTATTGAAATGGTTAAACAACTCATTGAATTTGTATCAAATCAGGCCAGCTCTTGCACTTCACGGTTGGTGGTAGATCTAATAGGTATTATACAATCAGATTGTATTGTGTATGGTCACCTTAACAGTTTTACTACAAAAGTCCAGTCTTAGGCTTGTCTAGTAGAGGACACTTCAGTGGGTGGATTGTACATTGTAGTGAAACATGGACCCTTCGTAATATCCTGCTTATATGTTTAGTTGCTGCCATGGATCCTAAACCAGAAGAGGAAGATGAAGTCATGGACCAGTTTATAGATAAATTCCGCACCCACAAATACAAGGGAGCCTTTAATGAAGAACAATGGGAGGAGGTAAGATTCGGGTTTTTGTTTGATAACGAGGAGGTGTACTAAAGGAAAGAAGCCAATGACAAATCTTCTTTCTATGTTCCTGCTGCCCAAGTAATGACAGATGAAATCTGATTGGCTATTATTTGCAGAGAATCTCTTCGTTTGGAGGATTTCTAATAAGTAAGCAGTGTAGAGGCACAAATATGATTCACACCTTGTATGCTGTGTTATAGACGGTCTGTATGGCATGGCTAAAGCTGAATTCCAGGTATGGCTTATTTTGCATAGTTACATTGGCCCAGCTTGGACTAATGTACGTATGGATTGTGCCAATACGTAGCTAACCACTGGAGTAGGCACCGCTACCTCAGTGATGTTCCCACTAGCTTTCAGGTCCCATGCCAAGTGGCTGCCCTGCTGCATTGTGAAAATGGGTTGCTAGCTCGGCATCGACCCAGGTTCCACAGGGATTGGCCAGGTATGGCACCTACGTACTTACACTTGTTCCTGGCTGGATCAATGTAACTGTGGAAATAATAGCCATACATGGAGCTCAGCTTTAAAGAGGAACTCTCAAAAAAAAAATCCAGATATGTATTCCGTACATAAATCTTAAATGATGCTTTTAAAGGGTAAGTTCACCTTTTCAGTAAAAATTAAAGGGTGAACGAACACCCCCACACCTTCAGATGAGAGCAATTCTCTGTGCTGGCGCTGAGCAGTCAGAATCACTCTGATCCATTGCAGAAGCCCTGCAGAGAGAAGGGGAAGAAGAGCAGGGTGTATTTCAGATTCAGAACTGCTACACTGCTGAGTGGGCACTGACAGCTCATCACCTCTAAAGGTAAAGGGGGGAACCCTTTACCAAATGGGTGTCAAAATCACCTGTATGTGTCTTAAGCTGGCCATACACTACAAGAATTTTGTTCATCAACTTTTGTTTCAGGAACTCTCATTTAATTTTCAAATTCTTAGTGGGTTCAAATTGATTTTTTTTTCACCCCCAGTGACAAGAAAATTTGAAGTAGCAGTGAATGTCATTTTCAATCAGGAAATTGCATTCATTCCAAAAATCGAATGTTAAAAGCAAAAATGCAAAGTACGTTTGAATGGCATCTGTCAGGTCATTGAATGTACCAATGAGAATTTTTTTGTAAGCTGTTCATGCAAACATAATTGTTCGGAAAATGTACTGGTGCATGGCCAACTTTTCTATATTGTCCTAATTTCTTGGGTAGCAGGACTACTCTTCTGGGGAAAAAAAAAAGGGCAGCTGTGTCATTCAGTCTGTACATCAGCCTTTCCTAAATGTTTAACATGTGGAGAGATTTAAGCCAGCATACATGGGTCGAATTCCAAAAGAATTTTCTTTAGAAAGTTATTTTCTAAGAATTTTTGTTCGAATATCGCACCACTATTAGGGCCACAGCAATGGGCGATTTTCAAGTGACCATCGAATTTGAGTGATTGGGTGTGTTGAAAATTTTTTGAAAAAATGAACAAATTTCTAATCAATGATGGGAGAATCATGCAAGAAATGTAATTGAAAAAGAAATGAGCGTGAGCTGTGATCTGGATAGAAAAGAAGATTCCCGGCCACGAAAATTCTTATCTGTAGCAACATGAGGTGAAATTAAAGGCTTGGTTGGTTGAATTTCGAAATCAATGGTGGCACCATCCGATTACAAAATGCAAAAATTTCCGATTTTCTAAAGAAAATTCTTTCGGAATTCGACCCATGTATGGCCTGCATTACTGAAACTGGTGCACACAGAATCTGGTGCAGCTTTGCATAGTAACCAATCAGCTGCTAACTTCAGCTTGTTCAATTAAGCTTTGGCAATGAAACCTAGAAGCTGATTGATTACTATGCACAGTTGCACCTCATTCTGTGTGCACCAGTTTTAGTAAATCTCCCCCATGGTGTTTCCAGTGCCAGGGAACCCCTTTTATGGATTACTCTATCTACAACCTGCAGACTGAACAAAAGAAATCTAACAGAATCCTCCATCCCTGCTAAACGACATGGATAGACAAATCCCCTGCTATGGACTATTTTATTCTTACAGCCAGCACCAGCCAGTGGCAGAATACCTAAACAGTGACTGCATCTGATTGGATGCAGCTGTTTTTCCACTCCGCTCCTTCAAACAAAAATTTGGACATTTCAGCAGAAATTGGTGGAGCTGTGTATGGCAGCTAGAGAGTTCATTGTATACATAAATGTAATAAATATATTCTATATAATATAATTCTATTCTATAATTTTATGAAGTGCTTTATTGTGGGATTTATGAGTGTTTTCTGCATTCCTTGAAGGAATTTGATAAGATCCCCATGTTCATGAAGAAGGCTCCTGATGAAGTCAATGCTTACTTGCAGCAGTTTCCTTTCCTTAAAGCGGAGCTCCACCCAAAAGGGGAAGTTACACTTTAATGCTTCGTCTCCTGCTCCCTGTTAAGGATTGGTACCTTTGGGGAGTGAGGGGGGAAGAGGGTACCCGAATTTGGTAGATGTCGGCTCCCACTTCCACTGTGATTGCTTAGGCTAGGGGTGGGCAACTGTGGCCCTCCAGCTGTTGGTGAACTACAAGTCCCATCATGCCTCTGCCTTTGGGAGTCATGCTTGTAACTGTACGTTTTGCAATGCCTCATGGGACTTGTAGTTCTACAACAGCTGGAGGGCCACAGTTGCCCACTCCTGGCCTAGGCGATAAGAAGTGAACGTTGTCCTCCCCCCTCCCTCCCTGTTATCTTCTGGGACATGTGACACGTCCCAGAAGACTACGGGTCCATTCACAAAGCTTAGTGCTACTCGTGCATACACTGTGGACACCGGGCTGTGAAGCCTCAACTGCCTACACTGAAGATGCCGGGGACACAGGATAGCTGGTGAACCCGGCCGGTGTGAACACACACCGCTGGATCGAAGGACAGGTGAATGTCTGTTTTTTTTAGTTTTGACTAGCTCCGCTTTAAATTATTTTTTATTAAAGAGGAATTCCAGGTATGGATATTTTATACATAGTTACATTGGTCCAGCTTTGACAAATGTACAGTGGATATAAAAAGTGTACACACATATGTTAAAATGTCAGGTTTCTGTGATGTAAAAAAAAAACTTTTTCCCGAGTCATCTTTCAGGACAGCTTCACGAGAGATAGGCTCCTCCCAGGAAACACCCAATCCACCTTTTCCGTAAATAGCCTCTCTCCATAGGAGACCCTCAGTATTAGTGTTTCCTCCGTAACAGGAACTACTCCCGTTTTTTTTTTTTTTTTGTATTGGCATGGCCGTCTGGCAGAGTACAGAGGCCTCCTGGATGGGGCTACCCCTTCCTCCTCTTCTCAAGCAAGGCAGGGGCCTTGCGGGGTGGCCTCGCCAGGGTTCTCTAAATAGCCCCCCTTTCTTTCCTGGAGTTAGGTGTGACAGCTCCCCTCTTTATGGTCCTGCGGGGCTCTCCAGGGGTGATAGAGCCCACTCCGCCGACCTATTCGGAAGGGACCACTACCATGTGGGGCTGCATGCCGACATCTCCAGCGAGGAGGCGCGGGTCGGTGACATTACAGCCGGGATCGTCATTTCTGGGCGCCGAGACCCTCGAGCGTCATTTCTGGCGCTTGACGAACAGAAAGCACCCCCCTGCCATCTTGGAAATGGGCGGAGGGCCGCAAGTTTGCCCCCCGCCACGGCTGCTTCATCCACCACGGCCATGAGGGGAGGTTGGCACACCCAGACCCAAGGGAGGGGGCGAAGCCCCGGTACCCTTCAAACACAGCCGTGCTGAGGGTGGGAATGCGGCCAGAATGGATGCAGATCTGTCCGAGCTGGGGGAGGCCAGCAGCACGGTAGGGGCCTGTTGGCTCCCACGAACCCCCCCCCCCCATACCTCTCGTGCTCAGATCTGAATCTCGTGGGGAAGGCCGAGGGGGCACGAGGCCCTTCTCCCCCCCCCCTTTTTTCTCCCCCCCTCCTCTCCCTCCAGGGGGGTTTTCGGGCTGCCAGTGGTTGCACGTTAGGGGGTGTCCCCCAGGGCCCTCGTCTTACAGGAGCACTATACCTTGTATCTCCATGTCCTTAGATGGGCCTACAGGAGGAGGAGAGAAGGGACAAGGAGGCCCTCTGTGAAACTAAGAGAAAATGTGCTACCTGCAAGAAGAGACTTGCTAGCGCTTGGAAAACGCAGCTGTGCCAGGCGTGCATTGAGAAGCTGATTAAGAAAGAGTCGGGGTCCCTCTACAAAATATGACGCAGGAGATGTCCAAAACCTTTCAAAACTTTAGGGAACATATGCAGGAACCAGGCTTGGACGAGCCTCAGTCAGGCACCTCAGGCATTTCCCTACCAGCTAAGAAGAGGAGACAGGACCCGGGCGCTGTCACAGTTCAAGAAGAGGAACCTTCTGGCACTTCTGACTCGGAGGAAGGCGAGACAGAAGACCAGGACCACAGGTCGCAGAGATTCCTTTTTCCAGCAGAGGATACAGAAGGCCTCCTAAAGGTAATATACGATACCCTGGACTTAGAAGAGGAACAACTGGATCTCTCTCTGCACAACCAGCCACATGCAGGGCTACAAAAGAGAAGCGGGTGCACGTTCCTCGTCCGTTCCACCTTATCTACCATAAAGAGGTAATGGGAAGAGCTGGAAAGGAAAGCTTTTTTTCCTAAAAACCCTAAAAGGTGATTTCTATTTAAAGAGGAAGATGTGTCTATGTGGGAGTCCTCCCCGAAACCTAATGCCCCCCTTTCGAAGATCTCGAAATCCACTGATCTATCTTTCGAAGACGGAGGTTCCTTAAAGGACCCAATGGACCGCAAGGTCGACACATTTTTTAGAAGAGCATGGGAAGCGTCCACGGTAAACTTTAAAACAGCAATAGCAACAACCTGCATTTCCAGAACCATAGACATATGGCTGGGACAGCTCCGGTTTCACCTTAAACAAGCTACACTGGCTGAGGAAATCCTCAAATCGTTACCGATGTTGGAAAAAGCAGTGGCCTTCCAACAGAATCACATATTTGGGATACATTCTGGATTCCACAAATACCTCCTTATACTTGACTCCAGAAAAAGCACTCAAACTACAACAAGACACGAGGACCCTCCAGGGGATGGCAACTTGCACAATCAGAAACGCCATGAAGCTCATCGGCCACATGACAGCAGCCATACCGGGGTTACAATGGGCACAACTACACTCCAGAAGGATACAGAACCTTGTTCTTTCCCACTGGAAATCCAGCCAAGCGTCCCTGGATTCCAGCATCTGCTTCACATACAAAGTGAGAGAGTCACTGGAGTGGTGGGGGAACATCCACATGCTGAAAGCCGGAAGAAAATGGAAGTAATCCAACCCAACAAAAATCACCCCCCCCATCACCAAAGACGCAAGTATGTGGGGCGCACACATGGAGGGTTGCCTGACCCAGGGCAAGTGGGACCCGGAAACTGCAAAAAGGTCATCAAACTTAAGGGAATTACTGGGTTAGCGGACCAACTGAGCCGAGAGGAAGTCAACCAGTCAGAATGGTGCCTGAGCTGCACAGCTTTAGCCCAAATCTGCAGCAGATGGGGCACTCCCTCCATAGATCTCTTTGCCAGCAGAAGGAATGCAAAACTAGAAAAATACTTCTGCCTTCAAAAGGACCCCCAGAGTGCGGGGACTAATGCACTGGCCCAGCAATGGGAGGGAGACCTCCTTTACGCTTTCCCACCATTCAGACTGCTACCAAGAGTGGTGCAGAAGATACAGTCGTCTCAGGCCAGAGACATTCTGATCGCTCCGTTCTGGCCCAAAAGGTCATGGTTCTCCTTCCTGAAGAAACTGAGCCTAACGGACCCATGGATGATACCACCCACATGCAACCTACTTGTGCAGGGGGCAGTGGTACACCCACCCCCAGAAAAGCTGTCCCTGACAGCATGGCTTTTGAGCGGAGCAGGCTAGCTAAAAAAGGCTTGTCAGAGAGAGTAGTTGCCACCATCTTGGACGGGCGGAAAAATTCTACAAATGCCATAAACTACAAAATCTGGAGGACGTTTTCCTTCTGGAGAAGCAGGAACGAGTCGTTAGGAGCCCCTATCCTAAATACAGTACTGGCTTGAAGAATTCCTTCAAGCCAGGGCAGCCAAGAACTTGTCCACCAATACACTTAAAGTGCAAGTAGCTGCTTTGTCTAATTTCCTGGGGCTGAAATTAGCAGAGGATCCCTTGGTGGTCAGATTCCTGAGAACTATCTCCAGACGCAGAGTCCTTCGCATGCCAGAATACCCTCTCTGGGACCTTGGCACAGTTTTAAAAAGTTTCCAACAGGCGCCCTTCGAACCATTGGGAAATGATCTCTCAGGCACTTGACCCTCAAAACCACCCTCCTGATAGCCCTGGTCTCCACTTGCAGAGTCAGTGAACTGCAAGCTCTGTCAGTAATAGAGCCACCAGAGGCCAGCGTATGCTCTGAAATGCGTCGCATTGCATCCTGGTCACTGACGTCATCACACCTACGCCGATGTTGCGGTTCAGCGTGCGTTCCAGCTGCTATCTTGAGGTGTTCGTGCATGCACCAGGAGGGCTCTTCTTAAAAGCATTTGTAGGGGAGAAGTCCATTTTTGACTTTAGATCTTTTTTAATACTCAGAGAACATTGTGCTGAAGATAATAAAAGTACATACATGAGATCTTGTTGATAAAATTTTATTGATATACTGTATATCGTTGTGATCACCTATCATGCACTATAACAACCATGAGTATAAAATAGTATTGCTTTGTCATGATGACTATATGGAATAAATGTTATTTTTCTGAAACATTTGCCTATGTCAGTGGTCTTCAAAATGCAGCTCGCTGGTCAAATGCGGCACTTTTCCTTGCTGAACCATTGGGGCACCATTCCTCCCACTGATACAAGGCACCATTTCTCCTACTGGCACAAACAATGAGGCAAAGTTCCTTCCACTGATACCAGCAGTGGCACATAATTCCTTCCACTGACACCAACAATGGGGCATAATTTCTCCCATTGACACAATGATGGGGCGCTATTCCTTCCACTGACACAATAGGTAGGGCGCTTTTCCTTCAACTAATAACAATGATTGGGCACTATTCCTCCTCCTACTGACCATAATTGTTATGTAATTTTCTTACTCCCAAGGCTGAGGCATTGTTGCTCCCACTGACACTAGAGCATTTTCTTCTACCATTAAATAGATTGGGTGCCGCGCTCTATTAATTGTTTAAAATAATAATATAACAAACATATAATAATCTCTCTCAGTTTTCACCGTGAATGTGCATAAATACACCTTGTGCCAATAATTATATAAATCTAAATATAATTATAGATAAAAATAATTGCAAATAAGAAAAAAAAATTATTTGCAAATAAAAAAAAATATAAAAAATATATAATTGCAAATAAAAAAGGTGGAATAATCCAGCTATGACCTTAAGCTGTATATAAAAGGTCCCATATGCACTGAAATAGTATCAAATTCCATATAAGTTCAACAGAAGAATGAATTCAATATACTCTCCTCTGTAACAGCCTGTGCTGTATAGCTGCAATGGTGTACAATAGGAACTGCACTGTGAATCACAGGGGAGGGGCAGTGACGTCACCACGCATCCGTATCCAGACATGGCGAGTATTGACAGTGTGCGCAGGCACACCGACAAGGCTGATCTTACCGCTATCCGCGGTTGTATATATATGACAAGCGCATCTTATTTTAACAACATGTGAGTGTATTACTAGCGCATAATAAAGTCCTTTACCCCGGATAAGACACTATGGGGTTTATTTACTAAAGCTGGAGAGTGCAAAATCAGACTCACTTCTGCATAGAAACCAATCAGCTTCCAGGTTTCATTCCCAAAGCTTCATTGAACAAGCTGAGGTTAGAAGCTGATTGGTTTCTATGCAGAAAGGAGTCTGATTTTGGACTCTCCAGCTTTAGTAAATAAACCCCTATGTACCTCTCTTTCTTTTCCTTATGACCCAATACGAGGAGAACTGGACTAAGGAGAGTGCTGAGGAAGGAGAGATCTCGTTTATCGCAGTGATTCACAGTGCAGCTCCTATTGTATACCATTGCAGCTATACAGCACAGGCTGTTACAGAGGAGAGTATATTGAATCCATTCTTCTGTTGAACTTATATGGAATTTGATACTATTTCAGTGCATATAGGACCTTTTATATACAGCTTAAGGTCATAGCTGGATTATTCCACCTTTTTTATTTGCAATTATTATTTTTTATATTTTTTTTATTTGCAAATAATTTTATTATTTTTTTTTTTTTTTTTTTTGCAATTATTTTTATCTGTAATTGTATTTAGATTTATATAATTATTGGCACAAGGTGTATTTATGCACATTCACGGTGAAAATTGAGAGAGACTATTATATGTTTGTTATATAATTTTAAACAATTAATAGAGCGCGGCACCCAATCTATTTATTGCTATTTTGTTGATGCACACCACGTGAGGGTGAGAAAGGATGCCTGCGACATATTATATTGTTTATATATACACATATATATGTATCCTTCAGTGGCTCACAAGTAAATTTTACACAAGAATTGCATTATTTTCTTCTACCGTTGGCCACAGTCCGGCAAGTCTGAAGGACAATAAACTGGCACTTTGTTTGGAAAGTTTGGAGACCCCTGGCCTATGGCATGAATTGTAATGTAGTTTGTATCCACACGGTTTTCTGATCATTCTTTTAGATGAGTATTCATATTCTCTTCACACTCACTGTCTGTGTTCCCACAACAGAACTGGCCAAATCCTGTAAAGATGAGGGCAATGACTTTTTTAAGGAGAAGAATTACAAGAAAGCCATTGAGGCATATACAGAGGGCATCAAGAAAAACTGCAAAGACCAGGAGCTGAATGCAGTTCTGTACACCAACAGGGCAGCAGCACAGTTTCATTTAGGTAGGTTAAAGGATTATATATTCTAAAGTGCTTGGCTGGGCTCAAAACAAAAATCCAGCCATTTGTTTACGTTTTGGGGGCACATGACCTCTGTCGGGTTGTTATTGCTGTATGTGGCACTAATGGGCAATAATGGCAACCACTCATATTAATTTATACTCTAGCAAACAAAGGGGCATGAGGGTAGAATAATCTATAGAGCAATACAAAATTCCCAAGCTCACTCTCCAGCTAATAATCACAAGAATTTATTTAACTTGTTTCAGCATTTTGGGTTAAAAATAGAGGTTTTTGTTGCATACATTTGCACATACATGTAAAGCCACATTGCCACGTCAAGCACCTCCGTGAAGTATGGTTATAGGATAATGGGTTAAACAAAAGAAAATTCAAAAAGTGAAGGTTTGTCACTTTATAGGGGCAGTTTAGAAATGTTAACTGTGCCTTAGCAGTACCATGAAAATGTGCCTTTTGTCTGCAGCTCCTCCTAAAAAAACGTAGCAATGAACTTCGGATATGTGAGTATGCCTAGGCACTCCTGTGCCTGCAGCCGCATAGCTATATAACTGCAGTATGAAATTAAAGTGGTTGTTAACCCTCCCATATAACCAGTGATGTGACTAGCCTCAGGTGATACACAGAGATGAAAAAATCCTCCTCCATACATTGTATCTGTTTATCTGCAGCAATCTCTACATGCATTCAAAGTGCAGAATTTACACAAGATCTCTAAGCTCTGAAAAGTAGGGGGCGGGGAGCTGAAGTTACACTCTGCAGAGCTCAGTGAGGAGAGCTCTGAGATCTGATTGGAGAGAAGGGACACACACCCCCCCTTCACACAGCACACAGGAACAGCGCTGAGGCTGTCAATCACAGGCTGTGTACGGGAGCTCCCTTTCCTGTCACCTTTTTTCTCTTGGTGTCAGGAAAACTTGTCAGGCATGACTCATGGATAGCAGAGGAACAAGGCAGCAGAGAGAAATTAAACTTGAGGCTCTGGACTGAGACAAGTACACACTATAGAAGGATATACTTTGTTCATATTTCATGTCTGAGTCTTACAGCCACTTTAAGGGCTGATTCACACTTGGCTGTTTTACCAACGCTTGCCAAACGCCCCTATAGCGTTTGGCAAGCGTTGGTTCGGCGTTTGCGGAGCGTTTTTAACGCTCCGCAAACGCCGCATGCACGGTTTAGCGGCAGTTGCTAGGCGTTTGCCGAGCGTTAATAACACCCCACAAACGCCTATAATGCAGGCCGGGCGTTTGCGGAGCGGCACCATAGACGAGAATAGGAGGCTTCAACGCCTCCTGACTCGACCAGAGGCGTCCGTTTTGCCACGACACAAACGCTCCCGTTAGAACAGCACCATGTGCTGTGATTTGCAGAATTGGCAGAGGCGTTTGGGAAGCGGTAAAAAAAACGCTTCCCAAACGCCTCTCTGCCGCCTGCACACAACGCTAGTGTGAACGCAGCCTTAGGCACCGCTGCCTGTAGTCTCAGGAGAGTTGAAATGAGGTTTGGTAATGTCACTGCTCTATTGCTCACTTTTGTTCTTGCTGGAGGTGCTGACATGAGGAAACCAAGCACTATCTCTACCAAGCTGGCCACCTCCACACATTGACACAGTTCAGAACAATGGAAGGTATGTTAGAAGGGGAAAGATCAGTGCAAATAGACAACAGGCAATACTGGGACTAGTCTTTGTACTCTGTCTGCATCTTTTTTGGCCACGGTTTTTAGAGTTCAGTTCACCTTAAAGGTTATAAGGAGAGTTCAGTTTGAAGGTTAAGTTACAGTAAGTGTTAAGGTTGACTGTAAATAGCTCGTTTTCAGGTTTAAAGTATAACTAAAGGCAAAACTTTTTTTTTTAGTTATTGGGGAAAGTGGACGGGGATTAGAACCCCTGTCAGTTTTTTCTGGTGTACTGCCCCCCGGGGATTCATCCTCTATATTTGTTCTGTTTACCATTATCATTGAAAGTGAAATTAAAAGAAAATCCCAAATTTTGGGCCGTCCCTAGAAAAGTAATAGAAGGGAAATCTTCCAATGGGGACACTTGTTCCGGTGACCTGGGGGTCCCCAAGGAATTTCCTTAATTTGCAGGAATTTCCTACCACTTGTGGGACAGGAAGTGAAGGGAAATCTCTGCAATGGGACACAGATGGCAAAAACAATTTGACAGGAGTAATAACCCTCCCTTTTTATATATCCCAAATGAAAAAAAAACGTTTTGCCTTTTTAGTTCTACTTTTAAGTTATGGTTTTAAGTGTTAAGATTAGGTTAATTAGTAATTATTTAGATGCGCAAGTTGTTGAAGAATAGGGTTCAGTGTTAGGGTGGGGATAAGTGTTAATGAAAGATGATGCTGGGCATATGTACTACTAATGTATCAGATGCAGCAGGTGTAGTTTAAAAATGAGGAAAAATAAAAGGTCCCAAGCTGTTTGGCAAAGCACTGTAGTCCACCAGTCACCTGTTCTGCTGCCTAAATGTGTCATACTCAGCTGCTGATGTCTTCTTATAGGTAACTACCGTTCATCACTTAATGATGCAGTTGCCGCAAGAAAACAGAAACCAGAACACCTAAAGGCCATAATACGAGGTAATTCTTTTTTTTTATCTTCTTACTTTATCAGCAAATGCTTGACTGGTGATACTCAGCTCTCACCTCAACTGCATCATCAACACTCATGGTGGCTTCCTCTGTGTTGGCTTGACCCTGAAGACCATTTTCCCCAGATCTCCTACATATAAAGCTATATCAACATGTTATGGAACATACATGCGGAAATCACATTTAGTTTTTGCACTCAAGGTACTGTTGTGGGGTGATTGTCAGTGGAAACTAGCGCTTTGAAAATCACTTGGTAAAATGGTTGCTGCCATGATAGAAATTTGGAGCATAGATATTTAATCACTGAAGGCAATTATTCAGAATGGCCACACATTGAATTTAGCTTTGCACGTGAAATAATTATAAACTGACATTTGGTGGTGATATGTTTCTGTTTGTTGTTTAACCGCTTGCCCTCCGCCCTATAGCAGAAATGCTGTTACAGAGTGGCAGGGCTAGGCAAAATTACATATATATATATATGATTTGCATTTCCAGGTAGGGGGCACGTGCGCGCCACTCTACCTGCGCCGTTATTGGCGGCTAGAGATGTCAATCACCGGGTCCCGGCCAGCTATTCTCGGCCGGCACGTGGGGATCGTCAGGGAAAGCTGACAGGAGAGACCTTTGTGTAAACACACCAATCATGGGATTGTTTTGTAGTCTTCATGTTTAGAGATATCCATACAGGCTCCACTAGGGGCCGGTAACATTGTCAATAACTTTTGGCTGTGGATTCTGTAGCCCAATATATGAAGAATGCAGGAAATTCATATTCCAGCAATACCCTGGTGGTCGGGATGTGACAGTCACAGGGAAACAGACAACATATAGAAGGTTCACCATTTTTTTTTAGTGACCATTTTCTCTGCTGTATCTCAGGTGTTTTATGCTACATGGAAATAAAGAACTATTTAGAAGCTTTGAAGTGGTGTGATGAAGGTTTACGGATCAACCCAACAGAGAAAAAGCTGCTGGAAACTAGAACAAAGGCAGATAAACTTCAGGTGAGAGGCGTGTGTAATCTGCAGGCTGTAGTACCTCTTCTATGATGAGACAGTTAGAGGATATTAGAAGCTTTGTATTTTGCTGCCATTATAAAGAAGACTGTAAGGGCTCTCGTTTATCCAGGTCAGCTAGTAGTAGTTGTTCTGTAATCACTATCTAGTAGAGTTCTGTAAAGTTGAAAATGTTTCACAGCTCATCCAAGCCACTTATTCAGTTTTAATGAGTGTCGGAAAGATTTCCCAACATTTTTGCACAGACACCTAAATCTAATCACAATGGAATATGTCATAGGAGATGCTGATTGTCCAAGAATGGGATGGGATGCTTGAAAGTTGAGGAACCAACTGATTCTATGGCATTATATAAGTAAAACAGGGTGGTTTCCCCAACATTTCATCCTTGGGGCAGCTATACGGTGCAGAAGTCCTCAGCCTGGCTTTTGGACCATACTGCATGCAGACCCTGCTGGACTAGATGTTTTGTTGATAACCTGGTTGTAAACTTCAGGCAATGGATTCCCCGTGGGACACTTTCCAGAACTGCATAGTGCTTTCTAGGTCCTATGCTGCAGACATTGCCTCTGCAATTGCTCTACCTCCAAAGATTTATTAATTGAGTAGGCAGGTGGGCCCATTATTCCTCAATTCCTGTAAGCTTTGCTGTGGGAGGTGTTAATGCTGTGGGACCGTACACTGATGTGTGCTGGGCTGAGTGATGCACACACTCGCTCTGTGCTTTCTTTCCCACCATGCAACAATGAGGAGATATCTCCTTGCTGCTGCTCTTGCTCCTGATTGCAAAGAACCAGTTGGAAATTCAGCCTTTTCTGCTGCTCACCTACAGAGACTACGACACTCCAATCCACACTGGTCACTGATTCTTGTCTGGAACCAGCAGTCCAGATTTCGTGAATACTTGAGGCCTTGCCTCTTACACTGAGCCGATATGTTGCCTATTTGTGCTCTGGCCGTGTGGCCACAGCATGTCTGATTCTAGACATTGGAAAAATGGTCCTGCTCTACCAGGTGCCCCAAATTTACGTTCTAATAACGGGTCAGGGGCTGCTTGCAGCATGCTTATTACTCTGCAGCAATCTGATGTCTCCCATCTTCAAGTCCTCTTGATTTCTGTGGGACATGGCCTCTGCCCTTTTGACTGAAGTTTTTTTTACTACATTCATGCACGTTTTGCATGTCTGATTTACTGGCAGCTTTAGCAGCTTCTGAGACATCGGCTGCAGGGATTCTGAGTCGCTCAAATCCTTGACTGATGAGCTTACATGGCCGTTGAAGCCCAGATTGTAAGGGACAGGGGCATTTTTCAGTTTGTGAGTTCCACGATGCTGAAGACTAGGAAGTCTACTTCCCACAAAGGTCTGTCATCATACATTGAAGGTTTATTTTTCTTGGGATTCTGTGGAATTCTATGGGTTTTCACCCCAGGAACTTCTCCTTGGGATGAATTCTCTCCTTCCTGGGTCTGGACCAGTACATGGCATTCGGCACTATCAAGAGTCTTCCATTCTCTTTCAGAGTTCATTGGTGTCTCACTCTTTTAAATAAGACCTTTGTACAGGGGTTCATGTGACTCTCCCTGATCATTGCCCATAGCTTTGTAGGATCTGAATCTGGTTTTCTCTGTACTCCAAAAACTACTGTTTTGACCCATTAGAGACATTTCTCTCTCTGCTCTCGTCCACAAGGTGGTGTTTCTTGTAGCCACCACCTCTGCAAGGCAAGTGCCTGAACTGGTGACCTTATCCTGCAAAGAACCCGTTTTGGTCTTGCTTGGAGACAAAGTGGTGTTCAGGCCCAGGGCTTCCTTTCTGCCTTTCACTTCTTTGTGTAAAGTTTTTATTGAAACGCTGAGTAGTACAAACAGCTGCCATAGGGAGTGTAACAGGCGATGCTCAAACATTTAAATAACATTATTAGCCAAATTAATGCTGCCTAGAGGCTGAGGCTCTATTGCGGCTTCCATGGTTCAGGAGCAATGCGCGGGGGATCAAACAGTAGGTATTAGTAGTAAAACAATGGCGTTTAATTTAACCTGAGAAAAGAGAGAAAGACCAGAGAAGGAAAGAGAGGAAAAAGAAAAGAAGTATACTATCCGGAATCAAGGAGGAAGAAAGAGAGATTTTTTTTTTTCTCCCGCAGGCCCAGAGACCCGCAAAAATTAGTGAGTCCCCAAACCCAATGGAGAGAGATTGGGAAACTCGTATGTCCATCAAGGACGCCAGATCTTCAAGAATTTAGCATGGATAACATCAACAATACTGGTCATTTTTTCATGTAACATCAGGACCGTCAAAGTAGACTTAACCTTACAGAAAGGGACAGAGGGTGATCTCCAAGCCTTGACAATAACCGGTTTAGCGGCAATAAAGATGTATGTGGAAAGCTTCTGTTGGTGCGCAAAAAACCCATGACTGGGCAGTGAAGTAATGCCGCTTTTGCATCTTTTGGAATGGGAACATGAAAGATCGAGTATAGAAGACCAAAAACTCTGGACCAGAACCCAACAAGACAAGGACATGACCACCAAATGTGCAGTACGTCACCGCGCATTCCACAGCCACGGAAGCATCAATCCGAAAAGTTGGGATTGGCGCATGCATTGCGAGTAGGCACCCAATTCCAATGCAATAGAACTTTATAAGCAGCCTCCATGGTAGTCGTAGTGAATCAGCAACGAGATGTAATCAACCATGCTTTACTCCATTTAGCTGGGTCTATGGATGCTCCCAGGTCCCTCTCCCAACGTGAAACATAAGATAGAGAAGAAGAAGTGGAGTTAAGTACAGAGGAAAGAAGGAAAATAGTGCCTGGGGACCCCGGAGACGTCCCAACGGAGATGCTCAAATACCGATGACCTATAGGGAAACACGGAGGTACCTCTAAGAGAAGATACCCAGTGACGCAGTTGAAAATAGCGATAAAATTCAGTCTGGGGGGCTTGATAAGCTTCCTGTATGGAAGCCCAAGAGGGGAACGTTTGTGAAGAAAGAAAATGGCGAACATGAGTAAAAAACCATGGTCGGACCACCATTTGAAGGTGGTCGGCTCATCCAATTCGGGGGGGGAAAAAGGGGGTTATTAAACAAGGACATAAGGGGTAGATCTGGAGATATAAGGCCACCTGAAAACCTAACTGAGCCCCAAATCTTCAAATTGTGTAACATAAGAGGGCTTAGTGTAGCGAGGCGGAGTTTATGAGGGAGCCACAGCAGGGTCTTGACTTGAACCGGGGCACAGTCAGGGAATTCCAAAAAAAGTCCAAAGTGGAATATCAGACGTCGCAAACAGTAAAGTAAGTGTAACTATTTGAGCAGCCTACTAATATTTAATAATATTTGTAACCCCTGAACCCCCCTTTCCGCCTTTCACTTCAACCACGACTTTGCTCTTCCATTACCATGTCCGGCTTAGATTCATCAAAAAGAAATTTCCCTCCAATGTCTGGATGTAGTTCGGCTTTGCTAGTCTATCTCTTATCCACTGCTTCTGTTGGAAAGATCGATTCGCTTGTTGTCATTTCATATGGACTCCAGAAGGACATCCCTGCTTCTCACTTCACCATTTCCTGGTGGCTCAGACAGGCCATTATGGGCTTTTTGGTGTTTCCCAGATTTATAAGGCTGCCAACTAGTCTTGTTCTCCTTGTTTTCTAAGTTCTACCTGGTGGACATTTCAGCCTTATCAGATGCTACAATTGGGTGTAAGGTCCTTCAGGCAGCTCTTTGAGCTGTAGGTAGTTCCCAGTTTTTGTTTTTTTTACCTTGGGCCTGTTAACGTTTGTTTGCTGTGTTGTCCACCTGCCATTTGGACTGCTATCAGACATCCTGATGCTTTAGAATTTCCTGTATCCCAGTGAGGGACATTGGTCTCACCCCCTTCTGAGTTTATGATCATGCTCTCAGTGCTGCTTTGCTATAAAAATGAGGCATACTGGTAGTAGAATGGATTGTCCGGGTCTGGCACACAGTTTGCTGCCAGTGTCATATAATCCTGAAGGTTTTAGACTTCCTATGTCCATCTACGGACTCCAAGAAAAGGATTTGACAGTACATTTACAAACCTTCTGCTTACAGAGGACAGTAGACAGAGATGCCAGGAAAATGAAACAGACTGAAAAGAAGAAACAGACAGAAAAGAACACTCTGCTCAGTGCTATTAAGGTATGTAATCTAAAGATTTTTTTTCTAATTGTTGAGTTTTAGGGAAAAAACATTTAGTGTTCCAATTTTACAATTTACCAGTTTTTCATTTACTACCTAGAGTTCCCAGCAAATGCTTTAATAACTGCTGATTTTGGCTTGAGAAGATACGTTGGTTTTAAATCTGGAGATCCAACTTATATCATCTTATTTTAATGATATAGAAAACTAGTATGTGTAATGCATGTATTGGAAAATGATGCTGTATTCAATCTTTAAAAAATCCAAAAGTGCAAAGAAAAAAGGAAAAGGAAATAAAACACAGAACAGACTCAACTGGTGCAGTAGTTAATGTGAGAGGTTGGCATATGTTTAAAACAAAAAAAAAAAGTTAGTTTTTTTTTACTAAGATCTGGAAGGTTGCTAGACAAAATAATTTGCAGCCATTCAAAGTTATGTGGTATTGGTGTTGACTAAAGTGAAAATAGGGAAAATCCTTATAGAGTGCTGTTTCTTGTCTTTCCAATGTGCCTTCTTTTTGTCTGCTTCTTGGTTACTGTTTGCTTCTGCAAGAGTTATTCAGCAATAACTGGCACACTAGCCCTGACAGGGCTCATTCACACCATGCCCAGTGACTTGTATTTTTTTGTACTGGATAAATGCAGTTCAACTCAGTCTAACTCCAAAGACATGCTGATAGGTTAATTGTATCCTGTCTAAATTGGCCCCAGAATGTAAATTAGGGACTTTAGATTGTACGCCCCTTGAGGGTTAGGAACTGATGTGAATGTACAATATATATGTAACGTGCTGCGTAAATTTTCAGTGCTATATAAGTACCGGCAATAAAATAAAATCTGGTGCAGTTGTGCATGGTTGCCAATCAGCCTCTAACTTCAGTTTTGTTCAAGCTTTGACAATAAAAACCTGGAAGCTGAATGGTTTCTATGCAGAGCTGCACCAGATTTTGTGCAGTTTTAGTAAATCAACCCCAGTGGCTTTCTATGTGCCTTGTTCACACTGCAATGCATACAAATGCATGCAACTGCACATTACTGCATATGCATTTTCAGTGCATTTTTTTGTGCAGTATGGTGTTAAAGGACACCAAGTAAGGCCCCGTTCCCCATTTCTCCAGGCCATTGCGCTCGTTAAAGCAGCCCATTGTTTATAAATTGGACCCAAAACTCTTTATTTTTTAACGCACTGTGGCTGTGTGTACTTTAAAAACACAGTGGGATGCTCTTCTGAACCAATGGCACTGCAATGCACCAGACATCATGTCTTAACGTGTGCTAAACTATGCCATTCAGTGCACATTTAATGCAAAACGCCAATATAAAGGGGGGCTTAGGGTTTGGAGGGATCTTTCCAAACACTGTGGGGGAGATTTACTTAAACTAGATCGCTCAGAATCTGGTGCAGTTGTGCATGGTAGCCAATCAGCTTCTAACTTCAGCTTGTTCAATAAAGTTTTGACAAAAAATAAGGAGGTGATTGGTTTCTATGCAGAGCTGCAGCAGATTTTGCACACTCCCAGTTTTAGTAAATCTTCCCTTTGCATACTTGGCCAGTTGTCTGATTCCGATTTGCTTTTGTGCCTCACACAAATCAATCTGCAGTGCAAAGGAAATTTGTTTCAGATCAGAAGCAATTCATAAACTAATCACTAACATCAGAAGTGAGTCAATAGCAACTTTAAACGAGTGTCCAATTAGCAAAACAGAATTCCAGTTTTTTTTTGCTTGTGAGCCTGATGCCTATATAAATAATTGAATTGCCATTATAGCTGTTATTATGGCCATGTACTCAATGTGTTTTTTGTTTTTTTTTTTTGTTTTTTTATTTCCCCCCCCAATATAGTCTCGGGGGATAAGGTTGCAAGAGCAAAGGAGCGATGATGATGATGAGACATCCTCTGATAGTATTACCTCCTCAGAAAACACAACTGGAGCTCAGGTGTTTATGAATGAGAGTGGTCGTCTTAGCTGGCCGGTGTTGTTTTTGTATCCAGAGCACTGTCAGACAGACTTTATCTCTGCATTTCATGAGGACTCCAGGTAAATGACTGAACTGTATCGTTGTGGTATTGTCTCTTTATATTGTAAAGTGCTGAGCAAACTGTTGGTGCTATATAACTCCTGTATAATAATAATAAATCAAACACACTATCTTTTTTTTTTTAAGGTTTCGTGATCATCTAACAGCAATGTTCTCTGAGGATTTACCCCAATGGGACACAGAAAGAAAATACCTTGCTCCAAATCTAGAGGTCAGTGCAATGGAGACAAAGTGAATATTTCTAGGTGCATTTCAAGAACAATAGAAATCTCTGTTTTTATCTTAACAGTCCCTAGGCAAGTCTGGGTCATTTAAAGTTGAAGGTCCAAGAGTGCAAAGGGCTGCATGCAGCCCTCAGGCAACAGGTTGGGCACCAGGGCTCTAGATGGTACTCTTCATACAGCAATTATATGATGAGTAGCTGCAGTGGGAAGACGCCAGTGAGTCACATACTGACCATTACTGATTATGGGTGTCGACTCAATAGGGGAATTCATTTGCATATTCAGGGTGTGGGCACAATATAGGAACATATTTAAGCTGGCCATAGATTGATTGAAATTTGGCTAGTTGAGAAGAGGCTGGTTGAATTTTGTACCATCTGTGGCTGTTCCCTTTTGTAAGAAGTCAATCTAATGATCAACATCTCACAAATGGGTTTGTTGGAAAGTTTGTTCTAATAGCGCTGCATCTAATTCCTCTATCCATCTCGCTTGAGTGGATGGGGGGAACCTGTGCAGTTTTTCCATGTATGCCTAGCTTTACAGGATGTTTATGATCTATAATGTAGAACATTTGGAGTTCTACATTTACATTATCTTGTTAATTCCATTATTCCATGTATGTCAAACAGGACATTTGTAGCAGATGATCTTTATGTTCTCTTTGTATCCTTTTCAAATACTTAAAGTGGAATTCCAGTCATAACTTAACCCCCCTGGAGGTATTCCCGAGTGTAGCTCAGGGTTAGGTTTCAGTACCAGAAGCGGTAACTCTGAGCTACACTCGGGAATACCTTGCAGCGTTGCTCTGGGATCCCTCCAGCACTTACCTTGTCCTCCGTTCCCTCAATATCCCCCCTGCAGCATCCCCGGCCATGACCTCCGGCCGATGCTGGCATCTGTCTTCCGGGTTCCATTCCCTGTGAGTGTCGGGACGTATGGGGGACGGAACCGGCGGGAATTTAAAAAAATGTAAAAATTTGACATTCACTCAATACACTAAAATATGATAGTATTACATTACTGTATCAAACCATTTCACATACATTTTGTCCCGAGTGCTTTGTCCTGTGCCCTGCCTGCATTTTTACCGTTTTTTTTCTGCCTGGTAACTGAGAAACGTCCATGGCGTCCAAAAAGCGTCCCTTTTTGTCAAAAGTGGTTTTAGACCAGCTAGAGAACAGCGATAGTAAATTGGAACCACTTGAAGAATTGAGTGATAATGATTCGTGGGGAAATTTGTCATCAGACACTGAAAAAGATTTTGTGACTTTGCTCAGTGATGTGCGAACTTGGTGCTCTAGTTCATATTTCAGTGTTTTTGGTTTGTTTATAATATTTAATTAAATTTATTATTATTATATTATTTTTTTATGATTATATATTATATTATAATTTATGATTTAGCGTTTCAAATTTTATCATACCCGGGATGTTTACTAGACTCTTGTTCGGACAGATTTCAGTGAGTTATTCCTACGAATTACAGGCCTACAATAAAAAAACAACATATTTCCATTGAAAACAATGTACCGCTTTGAGCACAGAAATACTGACATAATCAGACCGCTAGGGAGGTTAACTAACGGCAAAACCTACTCACACCCCCATTCTAAACCTATTCTATCTAACCCTGTAAAGAAAAGATCGTTATCCTTACCTATTCCAAAGCCACTCGGGTCAGGTTCCAGCTGTCAGCAGCAGCTTCTGTAAGATAATGGGTGACATCCTCTCCTAGTCATTTCCCAGCTGTTGTCAGCTTTCTGTCTGCACTCAGAAGCCACTGCTGGATACTGGACTGGAGCCACCTCAGAATAGGTAAGTATAGCAATCTTTTTCTTTACAGGGTAGATAGAATAGTCCTAGAATGGGGGTGGGAGTAGGTTTACTGTTCGGTTATAACTGTAATGCCACTTTATTGTCATTAATTGCATAGTAGTAGTATTTGTATTACTCTGTATAAACATTTTCTAACTGCTTACATTATTGTAGTTGTTTCATGTACATAAGTAATCATGTACCCGTCTGTGTAGGTTTACTTTGAGGATGAAGACTCTGAGTGTTTCTACCAGGTAGATCCAGACAGCACCTTGCTAGAAACCATGCAGCACAGCAGGTGAGATGACTAAAGGATACCATCAATTTTTATAGTTTTATATGCGCTATTGCTTTATTCACTGTCCAGTCGCAGGCCAGGGACATAGATGAGACTAGGCTGTATTGTTTAACTGCAATACAGAAAAGTGTTAATAAAAAATTAAATATTTTTAGGGAGGGAAATTATAAGGATTATAGTCCAGTTATGCATATAGACACTATTAAATGTGGCCTTCTAGGCATCAATGATCCCCTGATGATGCCGACGTTCATACTGGCAATTGTTCCTATTCACACTGAAGCCTGTCTGCTCCCATGCAGAAGAAAAAGCTGATTTAAGACAGCTCAAGCTTTTATGGCCTATAAAATTAATATTTTTGCTTCTGAAATCATATGTTCAACTTTTCTTTGTATTTTTTTTTCTTTTTGTCTTTACAGATTTCGTGTGAAAGCCGGAACACCATCATTTTTAATATTTGTAAAGCAATCTCACTTCTGTAGAAAATACTTTTCAGATAAGAAATTACAGAGGATATGCTGATATTTAAAGATAAACTGTGAACTTTGACCTGGATGTAATGTGTGTCACGCTGGCATTATTTTTAAAACTATTTGGCATCATGGACACGGCAGCGCTTCTTGGGAAATCTTGACTAAATTTTGATACAGAGATTAGTTTTTGTTTAGCCAATAAAATATTTGTCTTGACCTGACAGTGCATGTACACTCGGATCTTGCTTATGTGCATAAGCTGTGACCAGCACCTTTCTATCTCTGCACTGATAACAAGAAAACAGTGGAGGATGTTCTGAACATTTCCATCTATTTTGGTTCAACTTTCTTCCACTGGTGCGCTAACGGTATCTGTTGTAGCTATTTATTTCATGGCAATCCTGTTAATAGAGTTCAGAAAAAAAATTAGTACCCAAATCCATCGACCTGGAGTTCAGAATGTAATATTTACTATTTTTGCAATATCCGATGAATGCAGTTCTAAGTGTAATGTACAGCCAGGAATTTGTACCTTAACTTTGGATAGAGTGAGGAAGGATTAGAACCCCTGTTGGATTTTTAATGCTAACTGGGTCTCCATTAGGCTTACCATACACATTACATTACAATCTTGGCATACAACCTCTATACAATTAACTTTACATTTACGAAAGTGTTTTGTATTCCTATCTGTGTTGCTTGGTGATGTCTACTTACTTTCCATCTAGCAAAACAGTTTGTCACCAGGACAAGAAGTGAAGAGCAATCTGCCTAAGGGAGCCTTAGGTTAGCAATAAAACATGACAGTCTCTAATCCTTTCCCACCTATCCAGATGAAATGGGAGTGTAAACCTGGCGCAACTCTGCACAGAAATCAATCAGCTTCCAGGTTTTTTTTTTTTTTTGTCAAAGCTTAATTGAACAAGCTAAAACTGGTTCTAAAGGCTGTTTTAAAATAAGAAACATGTCATACTTACCTGCTCTGTGCGGTGGTTTTTCAACAGAGGAGCCCGGATCCTACTCTTCTTGGGTCACCCGCCAGCGCTCCTTGCCCCTCCCTCCTGTTGGGTGCCCCCACAGCAAGCAGCTTGGTTTGGGGGGCACTCGAGTATGCACATTCCCCAACTGCTTCTCCATGTGTCCATTCACACACAGAGCCGTGGCTTGGCCCCACCCCCTATCTTTTCATTGGCTGTGACTGACAGCAGTCTCAGCCAATGAGGAGAGGGAGTCCCAGGATAGCTAGGACTCCAGTGCACATCGCTGGATAGAGAGGGGGGCTTAGGTGAGTATTAGAGGGGGCTGGAGGGACTGCTGCACAGAGAAGGCTTTTATCTTCACATAGAATGCATGAAGGTGAAAAAAACCTTAAGAGCTGATTGGCTGATATGCACAGCTTCACCAAATGTTGCACTTTCTAGTTTTAGTAAATCAACCCCATAGTCTCTGTAAAAGAAAAAATACATGCGTCTTATACCTATATGTATGTGACTGTATTTGATTTATGCAGAATCTTGCTGGCAGTGAGATCCTGCATACAAAGTTGGCTGTACTGCTTCTGAATTCATGTGGACATACACCCACTTATGTCCGTATCGGTTGAGATGCTTACATTCTGCACTTGCTCCACCAATTACATGATCTTTAAATCTGCATCCAAGTGTGGTGTTCATTTGAATGACGCATTCAAGGGTTGATGTAAAACATCAATAGTCTGCATTAAGTGGGGCAGGCGCAGAATGACTGCAGGCTGAGGTCATTCTGAGATGTCATTGCTGCCTACACATTATTGATGCTGGCATGTTGGCCCTGAATTCACTAGGCAGCAGTGGTAGCCATAGGCTGCATTTACACTATACTTATATAAACATTAGCACAAACGTTTATGTGCATACAGCATAAAACAGTCAAAACTGGACTGTGAACTGGCCCAAAGCATACATTACTGCAGTGTTACGATCCATATAATTTACAGATCCGAATGCAAAGTATTGTACACCCAATCTGCCTCTCCAAATTAAGCACTACAAGGGTGATCTCTATAATTTTTCCAGTTTTCCAAGATAGCTGTAAAGTACAGTACAGTAGAATTGGCAGACAGTGACTAGATCCTAAATCACATCTTGCAAATGGTTGAAACCTTTAATCCCAAAACTTGTGCAGATCATAAACAGATAAACATCAGCTAGGTAAAAAATCATAGTGTGTCTGTCCAACAGAATACAGTACATATGATGAATGAAGGTTAAAGCACGAAGAGGAAGGGTAGGACTAACTACACAGAGCATCCCCTAGCTACAGAGTGAGTTAGAGACAAATATATTTAAAGCAAACAAACAATAATGCCTGTGTGCACTGCTTACACAAATCGAGTTTTGAAGGAATAATGGAACCCACTTGTGGCATTTTAGATGTCTAATAACTGCAGTACTCGTGTATGACCACAAGATGTCCTCAGTAGCTCAGCCACGAACACCTTACTCACCTTCCAGCACTGTCTTAAAGTGTTACTAAACCCCGGACCCTGCATTCACTATATCCGGTCTCCCTGTCCCTGCATTCACTATATCTGGTCTCCCCGGACCCCGCATTCACTATATCTGGTCTCCCCGGACCCTGCATTCACTATATCCGGTCTCCCTGTCCCTGCATTCACTATATCTGGTCTCCCCGGACCCCGCATTCACTATATCTGGTCTCCCCGGACCCTGCATTCACTATATCCGGTCTCCCCGGACCCTGCATTCTCTATATCCGGTCTCCCCGGACCCTGCATTCTCTATATCCGATCTCCCCGGACCCTGCATTCACTATATCCGATCTCCCCGGACCCTGCATTCACTATATCGGGTCTCCCCGGACCCTGCATTCACTATATCGGGTCTCCCCGGACCCTGCATTCACTATATCGGGTCTCCCCGGACCCTGCATTCACTATATCGGGTCTCCCCAGACCCTGCATTCACTATATCCGGTCTCCCCGGACCCTGCATTCACTATATCCGGTCTCCCCGGACCCTGCATTCACTATATCCGGTCTCCCCGGACCCTGCATTCACTATATCTGGTCTCCCCGGACCCTGCATTCACTATATCCGGTCTCCCCCGACCCTGCATTCACTATATCTGGTCTCCCTGGACCCTGCATTCACTATATCTGGTCTCCCTGGACCCTGCATTCACTATATCTGGTCTCCATGGACATTGCATTCACTATATCTGGTCTCCCTAGGACCCTGCATTCACTATATCTGGTCTCCCTGGACCCTGCCTTCACTATATCTGGTCTCCCTGGACCTGCATTCACTATATCTGGTCTCCCTGGACCCTGCCTTCACTATATCTGGTCTCCCTGGACCCTGCATTCACTATATCTGGTCTCCCTGGACCCCCTGCATTCCCTATATCTGGTCTCCCTGGACCCTGCATTACCTATATCTGGTCTCCCTGGACCCTGCATTCCCTATATCCGGTCTCCCTGGACCCTGCATTCACTATATCCCGGTCTCCCCCGGACCCTGCATTCACTATATCCGGTCTCCCCGGACCCTGCATTCACTATATCCGGTCTCCCCGGACCCTGCATTCACTATATCCGGTCTCCCCGGACCCTGCATTCACTACATCCGGTCTCTCCGGACCCTGCATTCACTATATCCGGTCTCCCCGGACCCTGAATTCACTATATCCGTTCTCCCCCGGACCCTGCATTCACTATATCCGGTCTCCCTGTCCCTGCATTCACTATATCTGGTCTCCCCGGACCCCGCATTCACTATATCTGGTCTCCCCGGATCCTGCATTCACTATATCCGGTCTCCCCTGTCCCTGCATTCACTATATCTGGTCTCCCCGGACCCCGCATTCACTATATCTGGTCTCCCCGGACCCCGCATTCACTATATCTGGTCTCCCCGGACCCTGCATTCACTATATCCGGTCTCCCCGGACCCTGCATTCTCTATATCCGGTCTCCCCGGACCCTGCATTCACTATATCCGATCTCCCCGGACCCTGCATTCACTATATCCGGTGTCCCCGGACCCTGCATTCACTATATCCGGTCTCCCCGGACCCTGCATTCACTATATCCGGTCTCCCCGGACCCTGCATTCACTATATCCGGTCTCCCCGGACCCTGCATTCACTATATCCGGTCTCCTCGGACCCTGCATTCACTATATCCGGTCTCCCCGGACCCTGCATTCACTATATCGGGTCTCCCCGGACCCTGCATTTACTATATCCGGTCTCCCCGGACCCTGCATTTACTATATCCGGTCTCCCCGGACCCTGCATTCACTATATCCGGTCTCCCCCGGACCCTGCATTTCACTATATCCGGTCTCCCCGGACCCTGCATTCACTATATCTGGTCTCCCAGGACCCTGCATTCACTATATCCGGTCTCCCTGGACCCTGCATTCACTATATCTGGTCTCCCCGGACCCTGCATTCACTATATCTGGTCTCCCTGGACCCTGCATTACCTATATCTGGTCTCCATGCACATTGCATTCCCTATATCTGGTCTCCTAGGACTCTGCATTCACTATATCTGGTCTCCCTGGACCCTGCCTTCACTATATCTGGTCTCCCTGGACCCTGCCTTCACTATATCTGGTCTCCCTGGACCCTGCCTTCACTATATCTGGTCTCCCTGGACCCTGCATTCCCTATATCTGGTCTCCCTGGACCCTGCATTACCTATATCTGGTCTCCCCTGGACCCTGCATTCCCTATATCCGGTCTCCCAGGACCCTGCATTCACTATATCCGGTCTCCCCGGACCCTGCATTCACTATATCCGGTCTCCCCGGACCCTGCATTCACTATATCCGGTCTCCCCGGACCCTGCATTCACTATATCCGGTCTCCCCGGACCCTGCATTCACTACATCCGGTCTCCCAGGACCCTGCATTCACTATATCTGGTCTCCCTGGACCCTGTATTCACTATATCTGGTCTCCCCGGACCCTGTATTCACTATATCTGGTCTCCCCGGACCCTGCATTCATTATATCCGGTCTCCCCGGTCCCTGCATTCA